GGGGGGGGGGGGGCGAAGGTGGAGAAAGGTCACGAATGTTAGCCCAATTCTTAAATTGCTGCTAAGGAATAATGTTTATGCATGGAAGGAAGGAAGCCATGTGAACCATTCTGAGAACTAATACCTGAGTGAAAGAAACAGCAGAGGCTCCCTTTATGGCTCAGATGTTGGAGGTTAAGATGCTAATACTCCATTATGTATGTTGATTACTTATTCCTCCTTATACTTGCTATTAAGGTTTGAACAATATCCAGGTTTGGAACAATTATTGAGAGTCATAATAGCAATCTTAAGTGTCGCAGAGGATTTTCAAAACACATTTATTCATATTGATGAAAACTGAAGTTTTCAGTAAACCTTATTGGCCTGATTTTGCTATTTTATTTATATATTTATTAGTTGAAATTACTTGGCATAGCCTTAAGATTACATTAATTGCTAAAGAATTATATGCAATGATTTATACAGTAAGTCCAATGGAGTAACTATTACCACCAGTTGCTTTCATAGATGCATTAGTAAAAACACTTAAGTGTTTTCTGGTAACTGTTTTCTGATAATGGTGGTCAACCTAATCTGGAGCTAAAATATGTTAGAGACTTCAGAATTGTATTCATGAAATTCCTTAAAAAAAAAAAAAAAAAAAGAATGTCAGTGTCAGGCTTTGATCTTTTAAGGAGATTGATTCAAACATTGACACAGAAATTTCAGAGCTATATTTCAAGCGAGTGATAACTTTTGTCTTTGCATGATCCAAGATTCAATTATTTTAGTGATTGTACTATATGCCATATTTTTTTCCTCTTCCACATGACTTCTAATAAAATATGTTCTTGTATGCTCAGCATCACCAACCATCCTAATTTGATCAAGGGTACAGCTTGGCCTGAAGGAGCCAATTTATACATAGGCTAGACAATGTCATTCGGACTCACCGTCTCATGTTTATGGTGAACCGTCAGATTCAGATACAATGAGCGTCTGCTGCTAAGGCCCCTAGCGGTGCCTGGTTCCTGCCCCTCCTGATGTCTGGTAGTTTAACTTCATCTTGGAGTCTATTAAATCACGATCCACTTAATATACTGCATTTTCTTGAGCTTATTTGAGTAAGATTCTCTTTCTTGCAAAAGTATATGCTAACACAGTATTACCTCCACTCATTTCTGCCATCTCTGGAAACTTTTCTCTTTGCTATAAATATTATATTTGCCGTGTTTTAAATAATTTTTTTAATGCTTATTTAGGGGAGATAGAGTGGGGGAGGGGCAGAGAGAGAGGGAGACACAGAATCTGAAGGAGGCTCCAGGCTCTGAGCTGTCAGCACAGAGCCCGACGCGGGGCTTGAACCCACAACGCACAGGATCACGACCTGGGCCGAAGTCAGACACTCAACCAACTGAGCCACCCGGGTGCCCCTATATTTGCCGTGTTTTAAAAGTGCCATGTCCACTCTGAAAATATTTGGAAATAAGGAAGGAAAATATTGAGAACATGTCTTGCTACTGAATTCTCCTCTTTTTTTCTCATGAAGAACAGTCTCAAAATATTGTGCTCCTAAAACATTGCTCGATCATGAACAGCGGATATTACTTAGAAATGTCATTGTAACAGTGCCTGTAGTACCACATCATTAAGATATTTTAAATATCAAAAATAAGTACATTATTCCTTGTAAAAGGACATAAAAAACCTATCAGGTAAACCTAGAGATTCTCAGATACCATGTGTTTATAGGTAGCTTTTCAGTGAACAAACCACACACATACAGCTGTGCACTGATTACAGAAGGTTTGGACAAGTTCAAAATATATATATGGCCCTCTCCACATACATTTAGGGAGCAATCTTAATTTACAAATTAAGCTTCCTGGTTTTTTTTCCCTTCCTCTTGGCCATTCATTTCTTTGCTCTCTTATTTTAAAAAATCAGTATGTTCATTGGAGAAATTATGTTTTGCGGATTCCACTGCAGCTTTAAGTGTGCCCTGCGGCCTTTTGGGTCTTTTCAGTCAGATTTCCTCCCCCGGAAACAAGGAGACTGTAACCAACAAATACAAAAACAAAGACACACGGTCTCCTAAGAACTTACACATTTGAGATACTGCAAAGATTTCTATACGTGGATATTACCAAGATTGTAAATATCTATAGTTCTGAATCACAGAGAATTTATTTTTTAGTGTATTTTCAAAATGAAACCATCAACACACATCCCTTTATGTTAAAGTGTTTAGGGAGCTCTGGTCACTTTTCCGGCCTGCACAGTTGCAAGCTTAAGCTCAAAATTCGGTACAGTCTCATTCTAATGAGAGTTCCATGAATCATCCTAATTGTTTGATTAGAATTTTAATAATGAATGATTTGCCAGCAATTACATTCCTAATCTACACGTCCTGAAGATTTCACTCAGAGCAGAGACTAGAAATGAAAAGAACCTGAATGACAGTAGGAAAAATTTGAAGACATCAGAAGTCTAAATTTCCATGACCTTTATCCAAAAATTAATTTTAACATTGATATTTTCCATTATGTTTGGATATTTAGAAAATTTTTGTGAGTTTTTTTCTTGAGTAGTGTTGTTGAGTGTAGAACACAAATCCAGCTTTTCCTATGCATGATCCTTGGGATATATGGCATAGCAAAGAAAAAGAAGGTCAAAATGTAAGTTTTTGTCAACAGGGCAAAATATTGTTGAAATTTTTAACTTTCTCAAACTTTAAGCGAAGTGCACACAATCTGATATTCCAAAACATTCTGAAGAATATTATAGCCACCTTATTAAGCCTTTCATGATTTCACAGACTTTTGTCAACCCTCATTTTAACTGTCTTCTTTCTGGGTCAAATATGCCTAATCTTTCTTCCTTTTTTAAAAAAGAAAAAGAATTGTTAATCTCTCATTTTAATTAGCCTTATTACATCTTTTCCGGCTCCATTAAAAGGTTTTGGACACACGTTTTTCTCAAATTTGCAAAAGTTACTAGTAGAGTATCTAGTAAAGAATACATAA